CTAGGCCACCACATAATCCTCAATAAATTTAAGAGGGCTGGGTCATACAGCGTATGTTTTCTGACTATAATGAAATAAATTCAGAAACAAATAGCAGGAGGAATATGTATAAGTATGTGGAAGTTAAAAATATACATACCAGAAATCAGAATGAAAAAAAACAAACAAAACTCATATTGTGTCAATCTAGCCATGTGAATTTCAGTTATATAATTCTTTTAGATTCTTAGACCACTTTTATAAACTTTGAGTCAATGACTCTTGGCCTTTTGAATCCACTCTGAGCCTTACTGATCTCCATACAAGAAAATTAGCATTGTGCTATTTTTTTAAACAAAATTACTCTTAATTTTCAAAGAAAATTGAGATGAATGAACATAAAAACACAATATATAGAAATGTAAGCGATGACATAAAAGTATATGTATAGAAAATTAATAGCTGGAACTATATTCAGGAAGATGTTTTTCAGGAGTCGGTGTTGGGACTAAAAGTGCAGCTGTCCTAACACAACACGGATGGGGCACCCCAGCCACTAGGGGGAGCTTGTTGCTCTTCCCCTCTCACTGGCCGAGGAGGATTGAGTTGGGGCTGCTAATTGCTATGTCAGCTGTTCCAAACCAGTGGCTCCTCGTGGAAAAGATTAGGCTTTCTACTCCTGTAAGTCCCAGGACCCCATAGGAGCAGTGCTACCCTGTCCTATAGGGTCACTAGGAGTGGGAATGGACCCACTAGCAGTGAGTGTGTTTAGGTTTCTGGAAACTAAGTAGAGATAGTAACTGGACTAATGGTTTCTTGTAGGTATGGCAAGGGAGGTGATGGGCGAATGGGAAGCTAATAATGAGTACAAGAAAGGCGAAGATGTCCTAAAATTAACCATGAGGATGATTGTACAACTCTTTGTACTATGATTGAACTATTGAATTGGATGATGTGTGAATTACATGCCAATAAAACAGGCTGGTTTTTTTTAATGGGGGCCTTCTTCCCAATGCCTTTGAGAAAGGATCCCCCACTCTGACTGACCTTTTCTCTGGCAAAGTGGGCCAGAATTAGGTTGAAGGCCACGAGGAAATAGTCAAAGAAGCTATATGGGCTGCCTCATCGCTCCTGTGAGGCAACACAGTGGAAGACGTAGAGAGAGGGGGTCCAGGTTGGGGTCTTTACTGAGGAGAGATTCTTCCCTCTGTCTCCTTTCACAGATCCTCTTCAGGACCTGGCGGAGGGAGCTGCCAAAAGAGGAGAGAGCTGGTGCAGGCGTGAGTGATTGTGGATGAGAGAACGTTCAGAACCACTGCAGTTCATTGGCAGACGCCTTTGTCCTTTGAGATGCCCCGATAGACTTGAATTTTGCACTTCCAGAAAAGAGGGCCATCGTCAACCCCCTGTGGAAGGTATTTCTGAGTCTAAAGCGTCATGTAGACACTACTCACCTTGCCAAGTCATTGAGATCCAACCGGCCGTCTTTGTTTCTGTCAAAGATCTTCATCTGAAAAGCGGAAGGGGAAGTGGTTGTCAGAACTCGTCTTGACAGGGATCCGTGTTGGAAGGTGTTTGTGTACCTTGCTACTTTTCTCTTCTGATGGCCTGAGTTTGCCCAAATTGGGGGAGGAATCTGTCTCCCTGGGAGAAGATGAGGAATTACTACGGAAGCTTCTGTGTTGGTCATCACGCACTGTGGGATTATAAAGAGACTTTCCCCCAGCTTTGTCTCCCCCAAAGACATGCGGAACATTAGGAGCTTTTCGCCAACAAATCGTAGGAGGTCAGATGCTTAGAGACATCCTCTCTGAAGGCAGTCAGTTGCCAGACTGCTCTCTGGTCCCACCCCTGACAGGCTCGCTCCCTGCTGCTAAGGACTATGGGCTACTTCTCCCTAAACGCTTGCGACCATTAGCTTGGCTCCT